AGTTTAGCGAACTAGTTTTGTAGCTGTCCACTGTGATAGTGTAGAGGATATTTATAGGTGCCACTTTTCTCATAGTTAGCTATAGAATAGATATTCGTTTCGAGAATCATCATATTCGATTGCCGTGTGGTGGCAACGAAAGATAATCTACCATTACATGTCGTCCGATGGGTGTCGTGAGAGACGACTATGGAAAATATCCGAAAGATCTTATGGCTTTCACTAAATGGAGATCTCCATTACGCCAGTCGTAAATTATCCAGACATAAAGCTAAAAAGAATTAAAAAATTCCACATAGCACCTATATTCCGTGTTATTAACTTCCCAGTGGGAAGTATTTTTTATTTTATTTATTTTATAGGATAGGATGACAAACGAGCACACAGTCCACCTGATGGTAAGTGGTTGCTGCGGCCCATAGACATCTACATCTATCCTGGATTACGAATCAAAATGTATATGCGTTGTCACCCGTAAGGACTAAGATGGAATGCCTCGTTTCCAGTAAAAAGGGTCTCCGGTTCTCCACACTCACCATACGAAATACAGCAGCATTAAGCTTCTATTTCACGCTGGTATTCTGTGAGAGCGTGGTCCTTCCCCGGTCGAGCCGACCCATCCGCGCTACAACTATACATCTAGCATAACTGCAGCATGGCTCTACCACGTATAAAGTTAGTTAAAGGAAGTTATTGTAATGGGTCCGTTTGCAAATTTTAACATATATCAACGTTTCAAGGGCAAAAAGGTATAGCTTTTAAGAGGATGTCCGTGTTAGCACATGTATGTATGCATGTTCGGATTCAATTTTCGCCTCGTGTATCTAGAGTACAAAGATTTATATTGACATGGGACCAATTTCATTTAACTCATAATTATGTAACTTAGACCTCATTAAATTTTGAGCAAAATCGGTCAAGTTGTTTTTTGTGCCGAATGAAAAATTGTATAAAATATTAAAACATATATTTTTTTATTCTTTCCACTGGGAAGTTAGTCATATGGACCTTTTTGGTCGAACCTAGACCGCTTTTATTTTGAGTATTAATTATGATATAGTTAAAAAATTAAAACACCGACTTAATTAAATATTAATCATCATCATCACTACAGTCCGCCTTCAACAAGCCTTCAGCTGTACACAGTTCGCCAAACACGGACCTGAACCACCTGCATCCACCGATTTCCTGCATGTCTTACTAGGTAGTCACTCCATCTAGTGTGGGCCGCCTTACATTTCGCTTAACGGTAGAAGCTACTGTAAGTAATGTAAAGTTACAGCCTCCTATTGTTTATTAAAAAATTTTTTATTATGTGGTAATTATTTATTTCTCAGACATGCAGGCTTTCTCACGATATTTTCAGTCGAGCACGTTGTAGCTCAGGGGCTAAACGCTTTCCAAGTGGCGAAGTGTAGGGCAGCTCCCCACTAGATGGCGTAACAACCTGGTAAGACATGCAGAAAGTCGATGAATGCAGGTGGTTCAGGATCGTGTATTATGGAATTCTTTGTGGGAGGCCGATGTTCAGCAGTGGACTTGTTAACGGCTGTAATGAGTGAATGGATGAGTGCATTTAACTCATTCCTTAGAAAATAGCCTGCATGGCTTCCTCGCGATATTTTCAGTCTAGCACGTAGTCAGGGTCACGTAGGTCAGGGACCAAACCCTTGCCAAGTGGTGAAGTGTCGTGATCGTGTATTATGGTATTCTTTGGCGGAGGCCTATGGCTGTAATGAACGAATGAATGGATGAGTGTTTTTAACTAATTCCATAGAAAATAAACGCAAGTCCAATTCAAATCTTGACAAATAATAAGTCGCTTGCTAAAAAAAAGTTAAATCGGTCAATGTTTAATATACTAAAAAAAGTCTGCCTTTTTGAAATTTTCATGCAAATCATCTGCCTATTCTATTTTTATGCTCAGTATAATATACGGGGTGTAAGTGTAAACACAGTTATCCTTGAAACCAATGGTATGGTTTCACTTACAGAACGTAAATTCAATGAAAAATAACATTTTTTTAAAGTAAAATCTCAATTTTTCCTTAATTCCTCAATTTTTGTCTGTCCTAAGCCAGGATGAAAGTATGAAGGAAAAGTTACATCACAGGTTACGTGTGCCTATTGTGTTTTTATTGGAATGTTGTGTAGGTAGCTAGCGCGGGCGGTGATTTTTACAGTGATTACGTCACTCAGGCGCATAGGGTATCCATGAATTTACGGACGGTGCCGGACAGAAACTTTTTAAATATTATGAAAGAAAATAGCGTTTTTTTAAATTCATTGAATTTACGTTCTTTAAGTGAAACCAAACCACTGGTTTCAAGGATAACGGTGTTTACACTAACAACCTGTATAAAGGTATTTCTCTTGAGATGATAGATATGATGACATTATTTAACTTTTTTATAAATTCATAATATCATATTGCTACTTACATTTATATTTTAATGCAATATTTTGAAGTAATAAAAGTGACCTTTCTGGGTCTTTAAAACATAATTTTAGCATAGTGAATATTAAAGTGCATAGTGAAATAAATAGTTTGAAATTTAAATTTAAATTTTAATAGCATTTGACCGCCCAGTTTCCCAGAACAAAAATGAATAAATATTAAGTACAGCAGGAAGAACATCTGTCGATTGTATTTACCTTTTTTCAACAGATTTCAACAAAATGAGCAGGTTCCCAATCAACAGTATTTTTTATGTGGGTGAACTGATATTGATGTTTCTTTTTTATTTAAAAGCTGGTGCTTCTCATATAGTCTCTGGTATGAATTTTATCAAGATGTGACTGTGGTTTTTGAGTTATCCTTAATAATGCGTATTTAATTGACTTCGACTACATTGATGATGTTCTCATTTTATTTATATTGGAATAGGGTGTACAAAATTTTTAATTTTATCACTTGTTCAATTTTAAACTATGCAGATTAGATAACTAGTAGATGCAATAATATTATTGGGGGGGGGGGGGGGGCATCTAACGTTTGGAATTGGAACTGTAGGTTATTTTGAGGTTGTAAGGTTTGATGACATTTCCGATGTGACTGAAAGTTAGTTTTATGTTTGTCATTTATGAAATGGATCGCTTTTCCTTTGAACAAAGTGGTGAGTCTTCTACTCAAACTGTAAGAAATTTACGAAAAACATTTAACAAAAAGAATATGTAAACGCAGTTTGTGGATCAATTTGTGAAGCGAGTTCGTGAAACTGGATCGTTGTTGGATAAAATAACCCGCTAAAATAACTTGTCGTGTTTTGTGACCTCGGTCAACATATATATAATACTTTTTTTATTGATTACGTATCTTATTAACCGATTAATAGTAATTCCTTGGTTTTTACTGACATTTCTTGAATTATTTGTGCAATATCTAAGTACACACGACGGCATATTTTTATGAAGAGATTTTTTTTAAATTAACACAATACGTGGCAACTCTATAAACGCCTCGCGAGTGACTGATTAAAGAGCGGTGTATGCACCGCAGTTGAGTGGAACAGAGTAACTGAATGCAGTGTCGCCTCTAGTACGTAGTACCTACATAATAGCTCAATGATTAAACTACACAATACTTAATTCGAATAAAATATTTACCATAATGTCAACTGTCATAATGGCGTCGGTAAAGCAGCGCCCTTTTGACCTTTTAATATTTGGTTGTCTGATGAAAAGCTATCGTATCACAGAGCCATCTATGCAAACGAGGCTGTAGTTTTTGTTGAGTTACAAGAAAGTGACTATGTTAACCGGATGACCATGTTACCTTCACACACGTATCAATTAATGTTTACAAGAACGACGAATATAACGAATTACGTAATCAAAACAAAACTTTAAACTATTCTATAATAATCGTGTGCACAGATATATAAATTTAACGGTAAACTAATTTTATAAAGCCTCTAATACTATAATTGCTCCAGCTTACGAGTTAATTTATATTAACATTGCGTGCAATTTAAAACGAATGTCGCGTACACTCCCCGGCACGAAATTTTAGCTCGGCATTTAATTACCCTTCTTAACGAGTGCACGCTTCAAATGTAGGTTAAAACGTGCACTCCTGGGTTATTTTTGTAACTCATCTTATAACTAATTTTGTTACGAAATTTCCTTTTTAAGGAAATCGAAAATCTAACGTTTTAAAAAAGTCACTGGACGGCGTGGTTTACTAAGAAAAGTTTTTCATACTTATCGCGTTAGTGCACGGAGCAACTAGTACATTGTCTGCAACATTTAGGCACTGTACGTGTATTTTAAGTTGCATTTTTCACCATCATACAATTCTCAGAGCCTCAACGAGTGAATGACAAGTGACATTGACGTTTAAGTTGAAGTCTTTACATACATTCCTCATTATACTTCATTCATTTGTTTATAACAGCCCTTCAGACGGTCACTACTGAATATATGCCTGCCCGTAGATTGGCTCACGGGCAGATATTTGCCACTAGCTGTGCCATCAACGTCGTCCGTGTAGAATCTTTGTTAGTAATGGATTTGTTTTAAATATTTGTATTAAATATTTATGCCTGTATTAAACTAGCTTTTGCCTGAGGCTTCGCCGTGTAGTAGTTAGAAAATAAAATCATAAAATAATATATTATTTGATTCTACAACTCGTCATTACTGGTACCGTTTTATGTCAACTGCTTGAGATTTTGAGACCTTTTCATAGGATTAGGTGAGTAGAGTATATGTACGTCTTTATATAAATTGCTGCATGGAGCATAACATCATCATGGAAAACTCTGCGAAGACACAAAGCTAGTAAACCGTGTTTGCGCTATATTGATGGTGTTGCAGCGGTGTTACACAGCAGTACTAGGCTAATTGTAAATATTATTATCATCATGATGATAATGATAACAACATCAAGGGGCACTCTGCGAAGACACAAAGCTAGTAAACCGTGTTTGGGCTATATTGATAGTGTTGCAGCGGTGTTATACAGCAGTACTTGGCTAAATATAAATGTTATTATCATCATGAGGATAATGATAACAACATCGTGGGGCACTCTGCGAAGACACAAAGCTAGTAAACCGTGTTTGGGCTATATTGATAGTGTTGCAGCGGTGTTATACAGCAGTACTTGGCTAAATGTAAATGTTATTATCATCATGAGGATAATGATAACAACATCGTGGGGCACTCTGCGAAGACACAAAGCTAGTAAACCGTGTTTGGGCTATATTGATAGTGTTGCAGCGGTGTTATACAGCAGTACTTGGCTAAATGTAAATGTTATTATCATCATGAGGATAATGATAACAACATCGTGGGGCACTCTGCGAAGACACAAAGCTAGTAAACCGTGTTTGGGCTATATTGATAGTGTTGCAGCGGTGTTATACAGCAGTACTTGGCTAAATGTAAATGTTATTATCATCATGAGGATAATGATAACAACATCGTGGGGCACTCTGCGAAGACACAAAGCTAGTAAACCGTGTTTGGGCTATATTGATAGTGTTGCAGCGGTGTTATACAGCAGTACTAGGCTAAATGTAGGAGAATAATAATTTGTAAGACATCAATCATACAAAAGTACAGACCAATGTACAGTAACGTTGAAATTCTATAAAAAGTTTAAAATAAAATGCAAAATAATTTTTTTAAATATAGCTGCAGCGTGGTTCTATTAAATATAATTCGAATCTCTACAATGATTCTCAGGTCAAATTAGTTGCTTCATATAAAATAACACAGTTGCTGCAAATGGTTATAACGTTAAGAGCTTGTTTTATCACATTAATGCGTATAAAACGAAATACCTAAGAGTACCACTATCCCATATTCAGCCGTGGGTGTCGCGAGAAACGACCGAGGGAATATAAACAGGAAATGGGCAGCAGCGTCTTCCTAATAAGAACTCAAATATTAATTAGAACTCAAATATTAATAAGAACTCAAATATTAATAAGAACTGATATATTAATAAGAACTGAAATATTAGTTAGAACTCAAATATTAATCAACCTGCGTTTGCCAACCCTCCCGCAAGTCTGGCAACTATGACAAATTTTCCCATATAAATCAGTCTATGGGGAGGCCTATTCATGAATAGATTTTGATAGGCTGATGAAACACCTACAATTGAGCTAAGACAATAAATAACGTGACTCGCAGGAGCGGGTTTATAGTTTGTACTAAGGAATTTTGTCTCATTAATTTATTACCTGTCTTCTTCATCGTCAACATGTAAAATTCTACTGCAGGACCTGTGTCTCTCCCGATATAGGTAGATTGACAACATGTTATACGGAGACGGGTAAAACGTTATATATATAACATATACATATGTATATATATATATATATATATATATATATACATATGTATATGTTATATATATATTTTTTTTTCGGTGGGTAGGCGCAAAGTGTTTTGTCATATTTAAAATCGATATTGATTTTTTTAAAGTTTAAAATAGTAAATAAAGTACAATCAAGAATATAAATGTACCTATAATTACATAAATCCACCAGCATTGTTTACTAATAATTTGTTTTCCACTGTGCACAACTTAAAACTCATTTTGTCACTTCACTGTCACCTGACATTGACCTTTAAATAACCTTTAATTTTCATCATGAATTTGCTTAAGAAGTAAATTGAACAGCTAACGGTTAAAAAAGTTTGCTCCTTCGACAAAGGGTCAAATTCCGGTATGACGTTAGTGCTGAAAGCAAGTTAAGGTCTATCCGAGCTCCTGACTTTACTTAAAATATCTAAAAACCTATCTAATATAATATTGGTACCTGGTTCCTTACTTACACTCTTTTGCCGCTGACGCGTAGTATGCTGTGAAGCGCCATCCTCCGAAGATGTCGAATAATCGCGCTTCCTTTTACTCTTCGATTTAAATCTATGGCGAGTTGACCGTTTACCCTTTCTCTTTCTTCCATCATTTCCATCCTCACTACCAGACTCACTAGTCTGATACCATGTTCGCACTCCCTTCCTTGGTCGTCCTTCCTTATCCTTGGAACGTACCTGCTCTATCCTCGAGCAGGCCATTTTCCGTATCAATACCGGGCTGAAATTCCGTCCTTGCACCTCTATCCTGGGTGCTCCTTGATTAGATAGATGCGCCAGTCCTTCCCCTCGACTGGTCGCATCATCACTAATCTCATTCAACCCTTACTTCGGGTCATCCGTCCTTGCTCTTGTCCTTGAGCAAATTCATTATCCATAATAGCTCCGATTATCTGAAACCTACAGGTGTAAGCTTAGAATTGGTCCAGAGATTTATTTAATGTACATACTAAATTAATTCTATAATTAGAACCTGACCATTTTAAAAGGCGCACATTAAATAGTTAAGCTGTGTAGGTTATTTTAGTCATTATATTTATTATTGGTACAGATTCATCATACTGCAATAGTTATAACATTGACAAATTTATTTCGTTTTCATAATGTCGTGTATTATCAAACGTAACAGAGTTTCATTATCGGTATTGCGTTTTTAATTTTCACGACTTATACGAAAAAAAGACGGTAGAATAATAAAAAAAAAAAATAATCATATAAATGGTCTAATTCACTATTCATCAAACTTTAAAATCAACAATTACAGTTATACTTAGTAGGAAAATATGCGAAATATCAATTTATATACACGAAAAAATACTTACATTATTCGAGCGATGCATGTGGCAAGATAATTAAATATGTATCTTGTTTATCCCACTTCTGATTTGTTGTACTATTTCAAGATCAGGTAAAAAATAAAAGGGTTGATTCCAACTATTAAACTTTATTTCATTTTCCACAATACTATTTCGAGTCCAGGTATAAAACAAAACTGTAGATTCAAACTATTACATTTTGGTTCACTTTACAATTTAAACTTATACACAATTCAACTTAACTTCACGTCTTACTGCGACGACTCGAGTTGAGCTAATGCCACTCTCCATTTACTAATCAACCTTTCGCACTCGTTAGCAGGGTGGGGCGGCATCATTTCCGCCCCACTCTTTTACAGAAATCAAAACATTATTCTTAGGATTAAATTATATTACTCTATCTACTATTCGTAATCATTAATGTTAACAACTAATAGTAATTATAATATAATCAATCAAAATATTATTCTTCCGGTTAAATTATATTACTCTTAGAAGCTGGTGCTTCTTATATGGTCTCTGGTATGAATTTGATCGTAATCTGACCAGTAGTTTTTGAGTTATCCTTAATAATGCATATTTAATTGACTACGACTACATTAACGATGTTCTCATTTTATTTACTTTGAAGTAGGTTGTACAAAATTTTATCACTTGTTCAATTTTACACTATGCAGGTAAGATAACTAGTAGATGCAATAATATTATAAGGTGGGGGGGGGGGGGTTATTTTGAGGTTGGAAGGTTTGAGGACATTTCCGATGTGACTGAAAGTTAGTTTTTGTTTGTCATTTATGAAATGTATTATATAATACAAGCAGAATTAATCAAATAGCTTTTTTTAATTACGAGTAGGTAAAGAAAATGTAAATTCATAAATTATTTTATTTAGTCACAACACTGCAGTCTTTTAATAAATTTGTTGTTATTTCCGTACTTGTGTTAAACTAGCTTTTGCTTGAAACTTCGCAATGTAGTAGTTGGAAAATCAGGTAGGAAATAATAAGCTATTTGTTTCTACAACTCGTCATTAAATGCCAATGTTTCAAGAAGTTTCTGTTTAATTCTTTCTCGTTGATTTTAAACGACTTTTGAAATGACTATATACATGTATAAAGAAACGTTTGTTAATCTACTTTATAAATAAAGTAGATTGTATAATTATAGTATATATATATATATATATATATATATATATATATATATATATATATATATATATCACTAACTCATTTACTTATGACTGACGAAGGAAGTGTATGCGTTCAGGGTGAGAGCTTATATATGTGTGCATATAAATTTTCCAATTTATCTCTAGAACGGTTTGACAGAATAAGATACGATTTTCTGCAAAGAGTGTGTTTTCTGCAAACATTTCATTTAAACAACCGATTTAAACGTTGTCTTTTGCGAAGTGCTTGTGACTGATTGAATTGATTCCTAGGTAGGTTTAATTGTGACAAACCAGTGACCAACCACCAGGGTTACTAATACCGTTTTTTGTGAACTGCTTGAGATTTTGAGCTCTTTTGATAGGGCTAGGTGAGTAGAGTTTATGTACATATATACATTAATTGCTGAGGGTATAATGATTGAACATAACATCATGGGGGAATCTGCGAAGACACAAAGCTGGTAAACCGTGTTGGGGCTATATCGATAGCGTTGCGGCGGTGTTATTGAGTAGTACTAGGCTAAATGTAGGAGAATATTAATTTGTTAGTTTAAAATAAAAAATTTGAAAACATCACGTCAGATATAAACGTTGTAGTAGAAGAGGGATTAAATAAACTTTTTGATAGCTCCCGCCGAAATCGGACATACTTCTGTAAGTGTCAATTGTTGTATAATAACATTACCATCTCTTTATTCATTTCAGTTAGCCGTAGATTTAGTTAATTTATATAAGTAGGTATATGATTTATTTTTCTATTAATTATTATTATGATTCTCAGGTTATAAAAAATAACACAGTAGCTACAAGGGGCTAACTGTCGCCGCCAACTAACTTAAATAGCTTTCCAGATAGCAGCCTAGCTTAACAGCCAAACCTTTTTACTAAACTGCACCGTTCAATTAGTGGGCTGAACATAAGCAGCCGATGCGTCTAATACAACATTACACCTATCTTATAATATCAGCGACAGCAGGCTAAGGTGCGGCTGGTGTGGCCCTCGGGCCAACCTAAAGCTGCGTATATTAATATTATATAGCACATTGCCCATAATTAGGATTGAATGAATTAATAGGGTGACCACGACACGACACGACGTAACTACTGCAAAATAATAACTAAGGCACGTGAGAATAATGTGGTCACCTTAAGCTTTGCCGCCCTATAAAACCAAAATTAGGAGGAGGAGAGAGACAAAGTCATATATTATAACTAATATGTTAAGAAAAACTAGCAAATAAGCTTTGGCAATAACTATGAACACAGGAAAAATCAACATAAAAAAATTAATAAAACTCTTTGAGTAGATTGTATTGTTAAATAGGTAAATTATATCGAGAACAATATTTAAATTTCGCCATTTATTTTGTATATTATATTTGCTTATTTAATATAATATGACATGATATTATATCACAATTACATTTTAATGATATTTTTATCTGAATATTTTAAAAGGTATCTAAGTCAAATATAAAAAACATACTAAATGTATGTTTAACAAAAATTATTATCATAACATTTAAATTACAAATATATTTATTTAAATTAGAATAAAAGTCGTTCATAAATGCTGTGCACGCGAGAGTTAAAAATGGACAAATTTATTCCACTTTGACTTTGATGTGGAAACCTAAAAATAAAATAAAAGAATAATAAGCAGATTTAAACATGACAAATGTTGCCAGATTATAATAACATATATGTTTCT